CAGAAAGGACTCTGGAAGAAAACATCCAGGAGCTCTTCAGAGAGTTCCTTTCCAGTCCTTCTATAAGGTGCTTGGGATTTGCCCTGCCTCCATGAAGAGAGCTGCAGGGCCAATCCCAAAACCTTACAGAAATCCAAAGAGACCAGATCCACATAGATAGTAGCATAGGGATGAAGCCAACCAGGTAAGATGCTTCTCCTATCCCCATTTCACACTCTTCTACCTTCACCATCAGTCCAGCCTCTTTTAGGCACTCAAATATCCTCTGTGCACAGGTTACATGTTATTCCCAAGTTTGGCCAAAAACTTCAAGAGACAACTCAGTCCTATAAGCCAGGGGTGCTCAATCAAAACACCCCAACATTTACCTAAGCTACATGCTCAAAACTTGCTATTTCCACCTGACACAGCACAGAGATCACTGCTCCAGTTTCTGATGGGTAAACAGGGAGGCTGAGATAGGAAGCCATGCCCCAGCTGCCAAGGCCCCATTTCAAACCATGAGACTGTAGTGTCCTTCTTGCCTAAGGAAAAGATAATGAAACCATGTGATGCTGGTCTTTTGCCTACAGGCAAACATACCTCTGACCCAGCCTCGGGGGACTGAGTGGAAGTCATGCCCCCCCCAGCCTACGCCTTACTTCAAACAAAAAGTCTTTAATATCCCTGTCACCTACAGAAGTCAACACCACGGCATGACAGCGCATCGCAGGGTCCCAGCCCTGCCCAAGAGGAGGCATTGCTTCTCAATTTCAGCTGCAGAGGAGGGGAAATTTAGAAAAGCAGTTTGGTGGTACATGAGATGATTCCCAGAAGGTAAAAAGGCAGATAATACATGGGGGTGTGGCGGTCGAGTGGTAGGCCGGGGCTATGGCCAGTAGCCCGAAACGGCAGGTGGGTACTTTTTGACAAACGGAGCGGAATTAGGCACCGAAGCGTATTGGTTAAACTAAGATTGCTTTACTTACACTGAAGATGATTATAATACAGGTAGGCTGAATGCTGACTTAGGTTACAGTTGCAAACTGAACAAGATGGAAGCTTTCTGATTTCTAGATAGACGTCCATGAACAGCTGAGCAAGCATGCAAGACATGGGGGTACGTCGGATAGGTCGGTGACGGGGAGTCGCTGGTGGGTGATCAGTCCGCCAGGTTTACTCTGAGAAATGTGCGGAGTTCTCCGAGTTCTCCAACTCCAAGGTGTACGAGGAGTTCTCAATGTGAGAAATATGCAGAGTTCTCCGACGTGGGCGGAAGCTGATTTACCTTTTATATGACTAAAAAGCCAATCGTTAGTCACCAAATATGAATAATTTAGAACTGGCCAATGGTGGTGTGCATGTTTGCATAAAGTTGGCGGGAACTTTTTTCTAAGCTGTAACTTTCCATTACTGTGGCATATAGTTACTGGGTTCTGACAGCGGAATTTTCCACTGTGCCATAGCATTTAGAATGACTGACAGCAGAATGATTGACAGCAGGAGATTCCACTGTGGCGGGAGATTCCACTAAGGCACATGTATCAAATCAAAGGAATGTTCCACTGTGCCATAGGCATACAACTACTTGGTTCTGACAAGGGGTAGCACATAAGTACAACTTCAAAAAGCAACTCTTTGCTAGTGCATGTCGCAGAGCCCAGCATCCAGCAGGTAGCCTTGTTTGACTTTCCTTGTTGGTAGACCATGCTTCCTTTGACATTAGATGGATTCTAATTTGACACTCTCTTGAAGACTGGATGGAGAGCCGACTTCAAACACCCTCATACGTCATAGGTTAGAATTCAGTTTCTGAGTATTTAAATTTCCAATACAAACTATGATTTCTTGAGGAGCCTTACTGACCTGGATTAGGTCAGCAAGAAGTGCTGAAACAGAGGCTTTTGTATCTGCATAAAACAGTGAATTCATATGCGAGATAGTCTGGGCTGTGCTGCAAGTAAGGGGTTACAGGTTCTATGCCCAGCTCTAGCACTGGCCATTTCACAAGCTTGAGAGAATCACTGCCTCCCTCTGTGCCTCTGCTTCTCCACCTATCCTGTGTCCACCTTAACCTCCTCCTGGCTTTAGCCAAACCTGCCATTTATCAAATCAAGAAGGGAGTTCTGGCAGGGGAGAACCCAGGTGCCTGTGTGGCTGTTTCCTCTCTGCAAATCTCTGAGCACTTTCACTGGTTGGCATCCACAGGCTCCTTGGACTCTTTTGAGGGGCAGAGGGTGCTGACTGCTGTGCTCTGTTCAGTGTCCCCCATGCGCCCCCTTCTCCCAAACACTCAGGATTAACCTCTGACCCACAGTCCTGTACCTGTTCTCTCATTTATTGTCTCCACGACTCAATTATTATGCATTCAGTGGCCTCCCTGAGGGAAGCTTATAATTTTCTAAGCGAACTTAGGCCCACTGACTTCTACTTCTATAACAAACAGGCCTGCATCCATCTTGTCTACTAAAATTGTAAGATGGTAGTTATATCTATATCTCTATGCAGAAACCCTTGCTTTTCGCAGGTTCAGCATTCGTGGTTTCAAATATTCGCAAATGCCAAACCCGCATCTTAAATACACTTAAAGGAGGAGCTCTTCGCTTGCCACCACTGTGCTCCTCCCGCCACACTCCCACTGTCACCAGCACAGCCGTGTCCCCGCCCCAGCCGCCAGGGGCACTGCATTCATGAACGCAGACAGCATTCATGAACCAAGTGCCTTATTAACAGATTTTGGCATTCGTGGGGGATACGAGAACGTATCCCCAGTGAATGGTGAGGGTGTCTTGTATACAAATAAAAGGAAGAGCTAAGTTTTTCACATCCCCAAAGCGCAGACTTTAAGAACAATGCCAAACATCATGCAAGCTGGTAATACTGCAGATACTTCTTTCCCTTCTTGCCATGTGTGGTGTTCAAACAATTGAGTGCTGCTTGATTGAGGATTCAGAAATGATTTGGCTGGTTTGACCTGGAATACAAAAACATTTTCCAAACCCCCCCCAAAAGAAAAAAAACCCAACAAACCAAAAAACAACCCCCAAACCCAGTTCAGACTCCCTGAGAGTGACTTGGGTTTGACATACCCTACATCAATGATGGAGGGTATGTCACACCCAACACCTCAAAACTTTGACTTTTATGTACACTATAGGTTGTACAAAGGTTGAAATCAGCAAACAAACGGTCATTATCGTGCAGCGGGGAGCAGTAGCCCCACCCCACGAGCCCCTCGACGCCAACACACCCGAGACTGCTCTAGGGCTTACAGCCCAGGCAGCCGGGGCCTCCGGCAGCAGATAGGCGTCTATCGCATTCGCCCATCCCCGTTCGCGCCTCCCTGCAGGCGCGCGCGAGGGCAGCTCGGGTGACGTCACGCTGCGCACCGGCCCCTGCGCAAGGCCCTTCCTGCTGGTGGTGCTACTGCTGGTGTCTGCGGCGGGGGCGCGGTCTG